AGTGAAAAACTACTTAAGAAAAGTTTGACTGGCCTTTGGGTCAGATGGAGTGTGATTCACTGTAGTGTAAGTGCAATTCTGATTGAGTCACTGGCTCTCAGAAATGACTTTTAGCATTCATGCATAGTTTCAAAGGAAAATTGAGCATTTATAAGCTGCAGATGCAGATGCAGCTGTTCTGTCCCCTGAGGAGGGAAATAACAGAAATGACATAACCAATGAATGATTCTGAAGAGTGTGCTGAGTGGGTGTTAAAAGTGTTTTATGACAGTTCAGCAGACACTATCTCCATGACAGTTTTTCTAACTGTATCAATATTTGCAGATGACCATATTTTACAGTCCGACATGATTTCTGGTTTGACTGTAATTTTATCATGGTGGGATTTATGGAATAAGAATAGATTTTGAGAGCTGGGTTGTTTAAAAATGACAGATTCAAGTCAAGCAGAGCCAAACTCAACTGTGTATTGCTCGAAATGAATTTAAGACAGCCAATCACGACATGCATTAAAACTTGTTGAGCTCTGCCAGAGGTTTTATTACCTAGCAATTTCACTTTTATCGAAAAAGTCTTTGGTTTATTGTTATTTACGACAGCTTTTAGTGCTCTGAATTGTCAGATTTCTGCTAATGGGTTTAATCACACTAGCCCTGAGTTCTGCTATGTCTTTTATGATAGCCTGCTTCATGCTTCCAGCTGGTTCTAGTGGGTAGATATTTGAAATGTATCTCACAAACAAGATTTTAAATCTAACCACCTGTCACTGACTTGCGTATTTTGGAGAAAAGAGGGTACACCATGTTTTGTATTACCCACATTCTCTTTGTTTACTAGCTTCGGGTTTATCAAACCTCATTATTGTTACAACTAGTAAAAACAATAATGATGAAGTTTACTTAAAATGATGTAAGATTGCTCCAGAACATTAGCTAGGGAAGTAGTATATCAGCATAAATATATTCCAGAGAACCCCATGATCATAGGCATGTCACTCAAAGATCTCTGGATAAATAATCTGACTTCATCCTTCACAAAATCATCAATAGAGCCTTCCAGGATAGCCTTGGATCCATGTGTCTCCTGCTATAATTGGTCATTGCTTCAGTTATTCTGTATGTTACAGGATCTGCGTATCCACATTGTTTCACTTATGCATAACTCTGCTGGTATAGTAATATTATTGCTGATTCTGTAAACTCTGTTCATTGTCTTGACAATAAAACTTGTTTGGATTTAAAAAAAAATCATCAATAGAGCCAATTAGGAAAGTGTACCAGTTTTCCTTTATAGTGCCTCAAACAAGGTGCCATAAATCTGCCAACACGGTTAGCAGCATTATTAGAGGTTCTCCATTTCCTATGAGCTAACACAGATTATATTATCTAACATGTAATGGTACTTGGACAGCTTGTTTCACATATGTCGGAAGCCAGGGGCGAACTGACCATTTGGAAACTCAGGCACTGCCCGAGGGCCCGGGGTCAGTAGAGGGCCCCATGAGATGCCCCTGGTACCTTTTTCATAGGCTTTTTTGAGTTTGGGCAAGGACACAGGGGCCCCATGATCCCGTATTGCCCAGGGGCCCCATGAGTTGTCAGTCCGCCTCTGCCGGAAGCTGAATACCACATGTTTGCTGACCAAATGTGTATGTGTGACATCTTCAGCTGTCCTATTACTACAAATAATTTCTTTTAACTTAGCAATAAGGTTTGTAAATTTGTTTCTCCTGCTAAACCTACAGTGATGGGTCTTTTGTGTTTTCTATGTAATTCAAAAGTGTGGATAACTTTTTTATTAACTTATATAAATCATTCAAATTTCACATGTTGGTAGAGTAACTCTTCCTCTATAACAACTTATTTTTCAATGCAGGTAAATAATAGGTTCCAAGCAGAAACAATGTGCCACCATTGGGTTCTTGACAAAGGCAGGGTGCAGGCTGTCCAACATCCACAGAAGGCTACAGAATGATTACGGAAATGACACCATTGACAATCATCAACATTGTTTTTGTCATTGGTGGCATCTCTGTAAACTATTCTGCAGCCGTCTGTGGATGTCATACAGCCTGCACCCCTGTTTTGTTAAGAACTCAGGGATGACACATTGCTTCTGCTTGGAATCCACTATTTAGCTGCAATGAAGAAGAAGAAGAGTTACTCTACCAACATGTGAAATTTGAACGACCTAAGTAAGTTAATAAAAAACGTATACCCACTTTTGCATTACTTTTGGAACAGTCCTCTTATATAGTATAAATATTTATGTCATGCTTCTGCCACCTTGCACGTGACATTTTAACTGGCAAAACTAGTTTCTGTGATCATTGTGCAAGAGCAGAACGTTTGATGGGATGTCCTTGGAGAGCTCACTGTTTATATAAGTCTTGGTGTATAAGTTACAAGAAGCACAGGACACATGAGTGCACAATCAGTATACAGGGTGAAATCATTTGGTGTTCTTTCTCCATTCTCTCACTGAACAGGTTGAGGTGAACATGGCCATCTGCCGTCTGATCTGCATCTTTATTCTTCCTGCGTGTTTCTCAGCAGCTCCGTCTCCTAGTAAGTGACACACCAGGCATTGCCATTTGTGGGAATATGGTATCTTTCCTATTCCATAAATCTATGCAAAAAGTAACAAGGATACGTAAGTTCATTATATGTGCAGTACCCTATGGTTAGATTCTATTTTCCTTCTATCATGCCAGTTATGAACTGCAAGCCTAACTCCAATAGTATGTTTTTCAGTTTTGGATTACGTATGGAAGAGTTACCATTTTGGTTCTTTCCGTATCTGGATTCTTTCCCCATTAAAATGTTTTAGGTGGAATGGCTGGTTGTTGCTGCACTTCGTACTTCATCACTGTAGTCATGGTTTTAGAGTGCTCAGCATAAATGAGTACACTCCTTTTGAAAAGTAAGATTTTAATCAATATCTCAATGAACACAAGAACAATTTACAAAAGTTTGACAAAACTGACTTTTATAGAACATTGGTTTAGCTCATTACATGAAAGTAAGGTTAATAATATAACTTAGATTACAAAATCTTCAGTTTTACTCAAATTAGTTGATGCAAAAATGAATACACTCCACAACAAAAACTACTCCATCTAGTATTTTGTATGACCTCCATGATTTTAAGGACAGCAGCAAGTCTTCTAGGCATGGAATTAACAAGTTGGTGACATATTGCAACATCTATCTTTTTCCATTCTTCAAGAACGACCTCTTTTAGAGCCAGGATGCAGGATGGAGAGTGATGCTTAACTTGTCTCTTCAGAATTCCCTATAAGTGTTCGATAGGGTTCAGACCCGGAGGCATACTTGGTCACTGAATCACTTTCACCCTGTTCTTCTTCAGAAATGCAACAGTGGCCTTAGATGTGTATTTTGAATCATTGTCATGTTAGAAAAGTGCACGACGACCAGGGGCACGGAGTGATGGTAGCATCTTCTCTTTCAGTATAGAGTAGTACATTTGTGAATTCATAACACCATCAATGAAATGCAGCTCCCTGACACCAGCAGCACTCATGCAGCCCCACAGAAGGACACTGCCACCACCATGTTTCACTGTAGGCACCATGCATTTTTCTTTGTACTCCTCAACTTTGCAACAATAAACAGTTTTGAAGCCATCAGTTCCAAAAACATTTATCTTGGTCTCATCACTCCAGAGTACAGAGTCCCAGTAGTCTTCTTCTTTTTCAGCATGGGCCCTGACAAATTCTAGGTGGGATTTTTTGTGCATGGGCTTTAGGAGAGGCTTTCTTCGTGGATGACACCCATGCATGCCCTTCTTTTGCAGTGTACACCGTATTGTGCCACGGGAAACAATCACCCCAGTTTGGCTTCCTACTTCTTGAGCTAACTGCAGTGAACTTGCATTGCAATTTTCTTCAACCCTTCTCATCAGAAGACACTGCTGTTGAGATGTTAACTGGACGTCTCTGTGAGATGGTTGCAGTTTCATCTTTGGTAAATTTTTGTATCACTTTTGCTACAGTATTCTGACTGAGAAGCAAAACGTTGCTGATCCTCTTGTAGCCTTCACATTTCTTGTGTAAAGAAATTTTTTTCTTTCTCGGACCTTGTGTCCTTTCTCTTCCATGTGGTGCCATTGCTGACAAGGAAGGGGTTCTCTTTGTTAAATGATGCCCTTTTATATTCAGCTGTCTGCTGGACACCTGTTTAACCCCCCTGGCGGTATTCCCGAGTGTAGCTCGGGGTAAAATTTCAGTACCAAAAGCGGTAACCCCGAGCTACACTCGGGCTTACCATGCAGCGTTGCTCAGGGATTCCCTGCAGCGCTTACCTTGTCCTTCGCTCCCGCGATGCATCCTCTGCAGCATCCCCGGCCATCTCCTCCGGCCGATGCCGGCTTCCATGTTCCGGTCCCTGCGAGCGTCGGGACATACGGGGGCCGGAACCGGCGGCAAATTTCAACATTTTAGAAACTGTCATTTTCTAATAAACAAATATTACATAGTAAACCATTACTGTTTCAAAGTATTTCACATACATTTTGTCCCTACTGCTTTTTCCTGTGCCCTGCCTGCATTTTGACTGTTCTTTCTGCCTGGAAACCTAGAAAAGTCCATGGCGTCCAAAAAGCGTCGCTTTAGGTCAAAATTGGTTTTAGGCTGGCTAGAGAACAGTGATAGTATATCAGAACCACTTGCAGAATTGAGTGATAATGATTCGTGGAGAAATTTGTCATCAGACGCTGAATGGTGCCCCATCATTAGTGTCAGTGTGTGAGGAATAGTGTCCCATCATTAGTGTCAGTGGGAGGAATAGTGCCCCATCATTGGTGTCAGTGGGAAGAATCGTGCCCCATCATTGGTGTCAGTGGGAGGAATAGTGTCCCATCATTAGTGTCAGTGGGAGGAATAGTGCTCCATCATTGGTGTCAGTGGGAGGAATAGTGCCCCATCATTGGTATCAGTGGGGAGAATAGTGCCCCATCATTGGTGTCAGTGGGAGGAATAGTGCCCCATCATTGGTGTCAGTGGGAGGAATAGTGTCCCATCATTAGTGTCAGTGGGAGGAATTGCACCCCATCATTGGTGTCAGCGGGAGGTATAGCGCCCCATCATTGGTGTCAGTGGGAGGAATAGCGCCCATCGTTGGTATCAGTGGCAGGAATTGCACCCCATCATTGGTGTCAGTGGGAGGAATAGCGCACCATCATTGGTGTCAGTGGGAGGAATAGCGCCCCATCATTGGTATCAGTGGCAGGAATTGTGCCCCATCATTGGTGTCAGTGGGAGGAATTGCGCCCCATCATTAGTGTCAGTGGGGAGGAGGAATAGTGCCCCATCGTTGGTGTCAGTGGGGGAGGAACAGTGCCTCATCGTTGGTGTCAGTGTGGAGGAGGAATAGTGCCCCATCGTTGGTGTCAGTGGGGGAGGAACAGTGCCTCATCGTTGGTGTCAGTGTGGAGGAGGAATAGTGCCCCATCGTTAGTGTCAGTGGGGGAGAGGAGCGGCTGCTCCTTCTTTTAGTTCGGCCGCTCGATTTTCGCGGGGCCGCTCGGCTCCGCCTCCTCGCCGGTGATTGGTCGCCTGTGTGCCTTTCCAGTGCTGGCGCTCAATCACCGGTGAGGAGGCGGAGCCGAGCGACCATCGAGCGGCCGAACTGAAAGAAGGAGCAGCCGCGCTTCCTGGACCGGATCGTCGTGGGACCGGGACCGGAGCCAGGTAAGGTACAGCAGCCCCTCTGCCCACCCCTGTACTTAGTGTCCCTTGGAGGAGGAGGGGGGGCGGCGCCGCCCCTAGAAAAAGTGCCGCCCTGACACCGGCTCGCCGTATACCGGCGTAAAAGACGACCCCCGACTTTTCAGAAGATTTTCATGGGTTGAAAACGCCGGAAAATACAGTAAATGTAATATTATTATATTATTATTTTTTATGATTATTTATTAAATTATAATTTTTGATTTTGTGTTTCAAGTTTTATCATATCCGGAATGTTAACTAGACTCTTGTTCGGACAGATTTCAGTGAGTTATTCCTAAAAATTACAGGCCTACAATAAAAAAAATACATATTTCCATGCAAAAACATTTACCGCTTTCAGCACAGAAATATGGACATAATCAGACCGCTAGGGAGGTTAATGAATAATTAGACTTACATGTAGTTGAATTGTTAATTAGGATTTTGTTGTCTAAAATTTAGCTTTGCTCCTAAGACTTTCATTGGGGTGTATTCATTTTTGCAACATGGTGTTGAATTAATTTGTTAGGAAAAATACTTTTTTGTGTGCGCAAATTAACCACTTGCCTACCAGGCACTTATACCCCCTTCCTTACCAGGCCAATTTTCAGCTTTCAGCGCTGCCGCACTTTGATTGACAATTGCGCGGTCATGCAACATTGTACCCATATGAAATTTTGATCATTTTTTTCTCACAAATAGAGCTTTCTTTTGGTGGTATTTAATCGCCACTGGGCGCTTTACTTTTTGCGCTATAAATTAAAAAAAGTGCAAAAAATTTGAAAAAAAAAAAAAGTTTATTTGTTTCTTTTATAAAATTTTCCAAACAGGTATTTTTTCTCCTTCACTGATTTGCGTTGATGAGGCGGCACTGATGGGCACTGATAGGCGGCACTGATAGGCAGCACTAAAGGGCACTGATAGGCAGTACTAATGAGGTGGCACGGATAGGCGGCACTGATAGACAGCACTAATTAGGGGTCACGGATAGGCGGCACTGATATGCAGCACTGATAGGCGGCACTGATAGGTGACACTGATGATGGGTACTGATAGACGGCACTGACTGGCATCACTTCTGGGCACTGACTGGCGGCACTGACTGGCACAACCCCTGGGCACTGACTGGTGGCACTGACTGGCAGCACTGCTGGGCTGCACTGGTGGGTGGCACTGGTGGGCAGCACTGGTGGGTGGGCACAGGTGGGTGGCACTGGTGGGCACAGGTGGGTGGCACTGGTGGGTGGGCACAGGTGGGTGGCACTGCTGGGCACATGTAGGTGGCACTTCTGGGCACAGGTAGGTGGCACTGCAGAGTGGCACAGGTGGGGGCACTGCTGGGCACAGGTGGGGGCACTGCTGGGCACAGGTGGGGGCACTGCTGGGAACGGGTGGGCGGGGCTAGTGGGCGCACTGCTGGGCGGAACTTGCGGGTGTCACTGCTGGGCACCGATCATCAGGGCACTGATCATCAGTGCCCTGATGATCGGTGCCGATCCCCGCTCTGACAACTGCCGGTTCTCGGCAGTACTTTCCTCACGATCTGACAGCGTGAGGAAAGTGCAGCCGAGAACCGGCACTTGCATTTCCCTGTGATCATTGGACACCGCTGATCACGTGGTAAAAGGCCGGTGGATCGGCCTTTCACCACATCACGTGATCAGCTGTGTCCATAGGACACAGCGATCACGGAGATCGCCGGGTGCGCGCCCCCTGGGGCGCGCAGGAGAGCGCGTTCTGGGAGGACGTCATATGACGTCCACTCAGAACTGGCCGGCCGCGGTGAAGCCGTCATTCGGCTATGCGCGGTCGGCAAGAAGTTAACAAATCTTGTTAGCAATCAATGGCCTGCATTTGTAGTAGTGTGTCCTTTAGAAAATGTTGATTCTGAAAGGGAAGTAAAGGTTTTCTGACAAATCTGTTGGGGTGTACTCATTTATGCTGAGCACTGTATATGTGTACTTGACTTGGATTATGGAATTGGGTTTTTAACCAGTTTTGGACACTGGGCATGCTACATGTGCTCAAAAGAGTCTATTTGAGAAGCAAACGATTCCCAGCTGTCAAAATGACATCTAGGAGTTGTATAAATTTGACAGATTTAGAAGCTGCTGCTGTCAAGAAAACAAACCACTGTTCAGACAGGAGATGGAGAGAAACAAAGTCACATTCCTACTTTTGTATACTGTATATTCTGTTTCATTCATCTGCAAATCAAAGGTATAAGTTTTGATGTGCATATGATGTCAGTTAAAGCAACCCGACAAGTAAAAAACCAATATTTTTTAATAAAATGTGTTCCTATTTTTTATTATTATTATACAGGATTTATATAGCGCCAACAGTTTGCACAGCGCTTTACAAAATGAAGGCAGACATTACAGTTACAATACAATTTGGTACAAGAGGAAACAGAGGGCCCTGCTCGTTAGAGCTTACAATCTAGGAAAAATGTAACCCCTTAGTAACTATTTTCCCAAACTCTGATGTAAAGGAGAACTCTGCAGTCTGATTTAGGGGGGAACACTGGGATCTCTGATGCGGGGGGACTTTGGTGACCAGACCCTCCACCCTCACATTTCTAAGGAGGGGGTGATGTTGCAGTGTGTACATAGTGACCTGTGCAGTGTGATCCCCTGTCACTGTGTGCAGGTCAGGTCTTGCTGTGTGATACTGCTCAAAGAACCAGCGATGTGCAATTTCAAAAACTTCCAGCCAGGGTGCATACTGCTGTCCCTTTAAGATTTGGACAAGGTCTATGAGCAATATGTGTACAACATGGGACAGAGAAGCACAATCCTAGCGCAGTGAACTTCTTAACTGACAAAAACACAGCAATACAGTAATTGCACTCACATGTTCTCTGTAGTGTGAGTGTCATGTCACATCCACCCAAAGTGCCATGTGCTGAAGTGCAGGGCACATTCTCCTGTGACCTCTCAGCATTGGTTATTGAATCTGTAGCTGAAAATGTTTCCCAATCTCCCACGGTGATCATAAATATTGTAACTTTTTAATTTAAGGCAGCGTGTACTCAGAGAGCGTTCGGAAGGAACATGCTTGTTGCCAGTACCCTACCCTCACTCACAGTCATTAGCAGTGTCCTGGGCCAGCCAGCTGGTCCACTTTGAGACTCTAACTGTTTCCCATCTCCAATCTCAGCAGCCGAAACAGAAGCTGAGATAGGAGGGCGGCACTGCAAGGCGGAGCAGCTGGAGGAGGAAGTTACTTCCTCTTCCTGTGAATGCCACATCCTCCACACACCTTACCGGTTGCTAGGATGCTAGGCAGGCCTAGCAACCAAAACTTTTGAGAAGCAGCCAGGACTTGAGAGGGATAACTGCCAATCCACTGCCACCCCACCATAGGACATGCAGCCTGGCAGCCCCGGCTGCCCTGTGGCCAGTCTGGGCCTGGATGTATGTAATAAATACAAATTTTACAAACTTTTATTGAATCCTTCATGTCATATGATGGGTTGCAATTCTACTTGCTCCACTTCAACCACCATTCACTTTATATTTGTAAAAAGCCATAATTTGGCTGCTTTTGAATAGACAGAGAGCTACTGCACTAACCAGTTAACACTGATGCGGTGCAGGAAAAGCAGTGATTCCTGTACGTTTCCCACATCGCATTGCAATCACACTGCATTCTGACTTCTATTGCGGGTGTCAATGGAAAGTTAATGATACCCCAAAAGCAAGTTGCAGAAACAATGCGGTTCCGGTGCAAATAAAAATAAGCTGCCTGCACCTTTCTGAAGCAGATGCGCTGCAATTTGAGCTATTCAAAATGAATGAGCTCAAATCCCACCGCACAGTATTGCATGTGATTTGTACAGGAATGTTCACAGTGTGAACCTAGACTGAATGTGACCATTTAGAGCCAATTGGGGTTCTATAGTATTAGCTTAGAAATTCCTAACTTACTTCCTGCCCTATAGAATATGTTGGCACTCAATGATATGTGCAGACTCGTGAATTGCATATAATATATATATATAAAATACATTTTTTGCAGTGACAGCCAGTTTCTCAAAACCACAATGTGTTGAACCTTTAATTTCTAAACAGTTACATCATTGTGATATCTAGCTGGATTTAACACTAGAGGAATTACTGTGTAGTTTATTTGCTGTGAATCACACTATTCATATGTACTTTCCATATACAATTTTTTGTCTATCAAATACTATACATCTGTAACACTTTTAATTATATCTTGTATCAGTACATATGTGGTTGGTATGGCGTTATGTGTGGGTGATAAGTCTTTTTAACTTGCCAATATGCTAGTTTGTTTCTTTTGTTCCAGCTATTATGAAGATGGAAACCTTCACTGATCTCATACAGGAGCTGGAGTCCAGTTTGCCAGGATGGCCTGCTAAGGATCTAGCTGAGCTCCTGCTCTCTTCCATCACTAAGCCATTCCAGTCCCATCAACATTTGTCTGATAGACAAGCTGCTCTTGCCCGTGATTTTCTTTCTCACAAGGTGATACATTCAGAGGACATGCTTTGGCAGGAACAAGGAGTTGTTTTTGCTCCTGATGGTAGCACAGTTGCTTTAAGGTCTCTTGTTGACACAATGGTCTGTGGTTGGAAAGCTAACTGTGATGTAAAAAAAATGGAAAATGACAAAAAGAATGTGGAACCCAGCAAAGATACAGAACCAAGCCAAGAACCACAGAGCGATAA